CCCCTTAATGTACCTAAGAAGCCATTTCTTGGCTTCCCAATGTGTTTCACCTGAGTTTGACATATATCTACTCAAAACACTTAATAGAATATGCCAAATATGGTCTAGAACACACCATGAGATACATTAGAGACCCAACTACATTAGAATAAGGCACTTGTGCCATTCTTTCAAACTCTTCTTTTGTTTTAGGATATAAATCATTTGATAGTTTAAAATGATTAGCCAATTGGACACTAACACTTTTGGATTCAGCCATAGAAAACTTACTAAACAATTTCAAAAAATATGATTTTTGGCTAAAACTTAGTGTGCCTTCTCTCCTATCTCTCTTAACTTTCATAAAATCTTTCTAACTGGACTTAAGTCCTTCATCTCAAATTTAGATTTTAGTTTGTCTTTAATTTCCTCAATCTCCTTTATGTCATGACTTGCTAATAGTTGTTAGCCCAAGAATAACTAATCAAGAGGGGGATGAATTGGTTTTTAAATTTTTTTCGAAGAATTAATCTAAATTCAAGCAAATAAAGGCTAATAGTTTAATTCAAATAGTAAGCACAAATATAAAAGCGATAAGTAAAAGGGAGAGATGATGCAAACGATATATTTGTAGAGGTTCGATCCCAAGCAATGATCTACGTTCCCCGTTACCAAGCTCTCTGGCACGAGTAATGCCTTTTCACTATGTTGATTAACTTATGGTGCAATCCAACCCTTTACAACGCTTTCGGTGACTTACAAACAAGGAGCACTGATCCTTATACAATATTGAGCTTTACGGGACCTCAACACGATCCACACTATTGAGCTTTACGAGACTTCAATAAAACCAACACGATGATTTACGACAAGGAGCACCGATCCTTATATAATGTTGATCTTTAAAGGATTTCAACACGACCCACACTTTATCAAAGTGATTTTACAATGAAATTTCTCTCTTGATAAATAATACAAACAAATTAAGTACTAAGAGATGCTAACAATCCAATGAATAGTAATAAATGATAGCTCAAGTGTTAGATGAAAACTTTGATGAATATGATGATTTTACAAGTTTAGTTTAATCAATCAAAGTTTCAATATGAAGAAGAAGAAGAAGAAAAGTTTATGTAATGTAAGTATAAAAATTTTCTTCAAAAATATATCTCCTTCAAAATTGATATAGATAAATTAA